TCCAGAGAGCATTATATTTGCTTACAGACTACCTGATCTGGCAACAAAACCAGATGTTGATATTCCTGAAAATATTCCACAATGTGAAGAATGTCACATAAGTGATAAACCATCAGCTCCATTGCATTGGATAAATTTCAATTTGTTACAAGAATGGTCACTTGATGTACCATTGTCAGTACAAATACCAGAAAAGCTTAGACAGGTCATCTGAATTAGAAAATTTTGTGAAGACAAAACTTTTAAAACTTTATAGTATATATGATACACTCTTGAATCTTACTAATAGAAACTACTGTGGAGTTTTACAAGATCTTAATACACAAGAACTTGCAATGAATTACCAATCAGTTGGTACTGTGTTCAGCATTTCATCAAGTAGTGGTGCTACTCTAAGTCTGAAATCTGCAGAAAAGATATTAAACAGAAAGCTGCAGATGACATATGCAACTACAATACCTATATCCGGAGGTACCCCATGAAATACCAAACATTGGCAGGAATGAGAAACAATCTGTTATCTTTACAGGAGTGTTTGATAGTTGTAATGATGGACAACTTAGTACGGCTGAATTATCATTCAGACCCCAATCCGGGTGAAAATAGATCAATGCAGCTATGCAAACTGCCTATAACTATAAAAGGTGTACCTATAAATTCACTTGAGATATAAGAAAAATGGCATGATCAAAATATATGTGACCAATCTAACTGTTGTCCATGCAAAAATTGACCAAATACTCCCAAAAGAAGATTTTAACCATAGAATTCTATCACTGTTACCAGAGGAAGAAAGCTGTTTTACACGATTCAGAAATATGATGACATGGACATTATTTGATGTTTGGAAACAGATTGCTGAAGGTTAGTATACATTTCAAAATAACTTGTAGATTTGCAATCTCAATCCCATTTTAAGGAATGGTTGAGTGTACTTGAAAAGAATCAACTAATGCTGGAATCTTTCAAAGCCCTATCTCATAAAATATAATGAGGTAAAATTAAAACAATATTTTTAAAAAGACAGCACTTTCTACGTATGGAAAAACCCAAAATAACAAATCATAAAAAAGTGTCTGTCTAGCAGTTCAAATAAAGGCAACAGTAGTATACCGCTGTTCGAAACTCATAAATCGATAGAGATAAAAACAAGTCCGGGTTACAAACTAAAATTGAGGGAAACGCATCAAATATAAGAGGAGAACAACGACACAACAAAAACACAACATTAAAATGTAACACACACAGAAACGAACTATAATATAACAATGGCCATTTTCCTGACTTGGTACAGGACATTTTAAGAAAAAAATGGTGGGTTGAACCTGGTTTTGTGGCATGCCAAACCTCCCGCTTTCATGGAAAGAAAAGTAATACATTTCATCACCAAAAAAAACAATACTAGTTTCACACCACTGACGTGAACATGGTACCATAACACATGGATCACTTGGTATATATTCTGTAATTTAGGCCAACATGGTCACTGCTATTAATTCTAATCATCAATGATCAAGCAAACATGAATGTACAATGATTAACTCATTCATGCTAAAGAGCATGAAGTTGTTTATAGTAGTACTTATTCAAATGGAATGAAACAGTAAAATCCCTGCAAGTATTTAAATAGCTCCAATGCAGAGATGGCATTAAAGTTTACCCTGTCCGCCCATTTGTAATTGGTTTCCGTTCTTTAACATTAGTTTACCTCAACAAACTGTTATGAAACTTATACACACAATGCTTATTACCACAAAACTCAGATCAAGTTGAATTTGGGTGGGTTCACTTTTACCGTTCTGGAGTTATGCCCTTTATTACATTAAATCTAAGCGGGGCCACCATCTGTGTCCCATGGACACATGCTACATTTACTTATTTCTAATGTCCTCTTTTTATTTCCAGTGATTCCAAATGTCCCTTTTGTCTTTATCATTCTGCCTGTTTAAGCTAAATAAATACAGTAAACTAATAATAAAAATAGAATTTAAAAGAGGGACGAAAGATACCAGAGGGACAGTCAAACTCATAGATCGAAAACAAACTGACAACGCCATGGCCAAAAGCAAAAAGACAAACAGACAAACAATAGCACAGATGACACAACAATAATAGTTTTCATTTTAACTCTAAATTTTAGATGACGATGAATTTCTAGAGCTAGGTGGTTTGGAAAGAAAAGTTTGTGAAAATGATACATTAGAGAGATCTTTTGCAGCATTGGATATTCAACCGGAGGATATTGGGGATATTGAGGTAATTTCATGCTACATAAAAAAAACTTTGGGGAAAAAACTGCCTTCAAGACGATTCTGTTCTATCTTAAAAAAAATATATATTTGGACAACAATATGTTATGTTTGTTAAATGCATTGCATTTGCATAATTTGTTTTTAAAGAAAATGCATACACAACAATTATTTTTTACCAGAAAAAAATACTTAAAGTACAATGTATCAATATTGTTTAAATTTTATTTAAAGATTTATTGATTGTTTTTCCCTAGGAAGATAAGAAAGAGGCTTTGAAAGGGTGAAATGGTAGTTTATTACAAACAATAATAAGACAACAGTTAAAAGAAAGATACATATTAAACAGTCAACATTTTGTTTCAGATTCACGAAGAATTAGTGCAAGAAACAGATTCTGAAGGTAGTGACTGTTCATCATCTGAAAATGACGAAGACAAAACAATTGATTATGAAGTATGTTTAAGTGAATATGAGAATAGTGAAGAGGCATCAACAGCAGAAGAGATAGATATTGAAGAAGAAATCTACTTGCAGAGCATTTTTGAAGATGTTGAGATCAAAATAACATCTGACACAGAATTAGACAATTTAGACTCTTATTTTAAACCTTTGGATCAATCCACCGATGCTAATACACAAGAGTCTGTTGAGTCAGAAAATGAAGATGAAAATGTACAAAGTACAGATGAAGTGGTAACAAGCAGAAGTTCAACATTAACCATGACCTGTTTGCAGGGAGATTTGGATTTAGGCAACATCAATCACCTCCGATGTTGACAAGACACCCACCCCCTGCAACAGACAAAGATGACAATATACAGAAACTTAGGGAAGTACTTGATGACATAATGACGAGGGTTAATTCCAATGATGCTGCACATGGTGGTTTGAAAATTCTGTTTGCTCCTGACAACAAAATAGGCAGTAATTTGCTAAAAATCTTGTCTTCATCCAAAAAATATCAAAATTTTCTTCCCGAATTTCCAATACTACATTTGCGAAAATCAAAGATAACAAACTTTTGTACTGCTTACAGGAATGCAGGTATTATAGAAATATTAAAATATATGAGAGATGAGGAATTCAATGACTGGAAAAAACTCATATCAACCGAGCACATCACTATGGCATCCAAATACGTAAGACGTTTATCCGTTGCTCTGAGGGTTGCTTTTGTTACAAAATTTTTGAAGACCTTACAGCTTGAAGAACAAAATGCCATGAAAGATGATTTGCAGAATGAGAATGCTAACTGTATGAAATGGAATGATCGACTTGAGAATATTTTAGAATATGAAAAGTCACAAAATGCTACATTTATGCTACATACTGAAATGTTGAATCACAGTGAAGAGATCAGTGCATTATCATTTGCTGAGCGACTTGGTGGTACAGAAGGATATTCTCTAATGTTAGCAGCAGTTAACATGTCTTTACCTTTTGCATTTCTTAACGGTTCCACGTCATGTGCAGCCTATGCAGTTAATCTATTACACGAACATTACAAATCTGGTATAATCAAAATGTGAAGGCTGCTTTGTTCACAACAACACATCAGAAAAGTCCATACAATTTTGGTTTGGACACCCAGAGAGAACTAGACCACAAAGATGTTCTAAAGAGTTTTAGATGTGGAGCAACAATGTCATCTGTTGTGCCAAGAATGGCTTTAATAGACTCTTTCAATGAAGCCCATGATGCAAGCAATAGTACAAAAAGTTTTAATGAGACTAGGGATGAAATAAGTAGTGCTCATAAGCGGAACAAATTACCAGGTCTTTCATTAAACCAAACTGACATTAACAATATCCTTAAAATTGCACGTTTGATCCAACGACAGAATGCCCTATCAACAGACGAGGACATTAATGTTGTAAATGTTTATTCAATGCCAACAAATATTTTGCCCGAGACAATGCTTGATTCGGCTACATATGAAGCATATGTTAAGTAGGATTGAAATATGAAATTTTAACGAAATGAGAAGAGACATTTAAAACACTAGAATCTGGAAAACAAATATACGTGATTGTTGTCTTAAGTTTATTATGTTTTTAGTGTCGTGACATAATACACGAGCTGTTTTACAAGACGCAACATGTCATGTGTACATATCGGTGTCATGATGGGGCTTTGAAGTTATAAAGCACACAATGGGTTACGGTAGCACCAATTTTTTCTACGTTTATATACATCCCTGGCTTGCAAATATTTGTGCTTGAGCGTTCCTGATGAAAATAAATCCAGAGAAGCAGTTCAGACGCGAGAAATTTATAAATATATTTACATATAAATAAGAAGATGTGGTATGAGTGCCAATGAGACAACTCTCCCTCCAAGTCACATGTATAAAAAGTAAACAATTATAGGTCAATTACATGCATATCTTTAAATACAACTTTGTTTGAGATTTCTCATCTGCTTTTTTATTATGTAATTTTTTTACTCGTGTTAACAAGTACAATTTATTGTGAGGTTTGACAGCTTACATTGGAAACTTTATTGTCATACATTTAAAAATTGCTATATTATTTGAAGATCATTTGTTTCGTTTAATGCCTTTGTATTTCCGATTTTGTTTATAATACTTTTGACGAGATTTTCTATTAAAAAAAAGAGGCAGAGATACCAAAGGGATATCCACGAAGATGGCGTCCTTAAAACTTTCAAAGGTATGACTTCAACTTAACTACTTTGAACCCTTGGTTCAATAGCTAAAATTATAAACAAACATAAAAAAAATCAATATAAATTATTACAATAACTACCAAAAATTCAAATAGTTTATAGAAGTGAACAATAAATATAAATCAAAAATTTAATTAACCGTCAAGCCACCAAAATGTCAGATAATATATACATAAGGTTGAAAGGGGACTACTACTTGAAAACATTAGTATCAATTAAAATTGTCCAAGCTTAGTTCTATTATAAGGAAAACGGAAGCAACGTTAAGTAATATGCCGCCAATAAGATCCAACACGAGTAACGCCTTGAGACATTTACCATTTCTTTTGTATTTGAACTTTTTACTTTTACAACTTAGTTGCCAAATCGAAACTCCCAAATGGATCGATGCTTCCACGATTGCGTATATTGCTTTCGCATATTGTACATTGGAAATAATATCCGATGAAATGACTGCTACGCGAACGGCCAAGATAATTTGGGGGATATCTTCAAGCCACGTTGATATAAATGACATAGTTGTTAAGTATGTTAAATGCGAGTAATTCTTCCTAGAATCATAGTATATAGCCACTAGTTGAAGTATAAATGTAACTGTTCCAACAATTGCAAATGCCAGGATCGAATATTTCAATTCTTTTTTCCTTCGTATTCGTTCTTGGTCCGTTTTATTTACTTCATTGAAAAAGTCCCAGTCTAGACCTAGGTCAATCAATTCCATAAGAATCAGTCCGGTTATGAAGAACACTTTTTTACATGTGCATCCCATTTTGTTGACAAGAATATTTATTCTGAAAATAAACAATTCCATTTTTGTTATTACAGTTATCAATAATATCAGTGAAGAAGTGTTTTCGCAAATCGTCACAAGATCAAGGTGGTGGTATTAAAGATAAAACTGGCATATTCGAGCAAATGATTTTTAAATGGTTATAACATAATGTGTATGAGGGATTTAGTTTGGCCAGATCATACGAACATAGGACAACAAGACTTAACCGTCTTGTATTGCTCTGAGAGTATCAAGATTACGTTTTTTATTATTTCACGAAGTCTCAGTTTACCCCACCCCAATAGAAAATAAAATGGACGGGGCGCAGTTTGATACGACCGCAGGGGTCGAACCCTGAACTTAATATGATAAATATTAAGATACCGAACTTCATTGAATTATAACATATTATTCTATTATGCTGTATTCATTGTTATAATGTACTGAAATATGGGCCTTTGCCAATTATTGTAATTGTGTTTGTGCCAATAAAATATTTGTATTTGTATATTTGTATAAAACGTTATATTAAGGTTTATAGGAATTTTTTTTTCTGAGACAAGTGTCTGTGGTATATTATGATTAAATTATGACATGCGTATATATAAAGTGTTAAATCTTACTGTTATTCAAAGATATCGTTGCACAAAGATTAAACTGTCTGATATTGGTGATCTATATATAGAATTGGTAATACCAATTGTTATAAATAGAAAGGAAAATTACCAGTTATTGTTCAGAATTTTCAAAAAATGGGTTGTCTTCATAGATCAAAGATTTATACTAATATTTATGGAATCACGTAATTATTGAAAGCTTAGAGATCGATTTCACACAATATAATATCCATCAAACCAATAGATTTAATTACATGCATATAAATCTAAAATTTCTGTACATTTTTTTAACTTTTATTTAAATTTTTTTGCTGTCATGGGATGAGTACATATCTACACCCAATGCATAGATAATTAGCTAAAAAAAAACGAGTAACTAGAAAGATTATTTTAATTGATATTGAATATTTTTCATATTAAATCTTATGTTCTGAACAATAATTTGATTATACTGACACGTGAGGGTATACGCCATTGAGAACAACTCAACAACAAAAATAACCAAACCGTACAAAGGGCAACATACATTCTTCGTCACTATAAAGGGGTTAATGCAATATGTCAAGTTCTCAGTTGTTATGAGTATAAAATTTGTGATTAAAATTCAACAAAAAATTAAATTCTCTAAAAACTACAAATGCTAAGATATGACATAAGACTTATAATCAGATTACCAAATGAAATAGTGCCCAAATTGGGTATGTAATACTGTACATATACTAAAAAATAACTTATTACATATTCATTCCATTACCTTGTTACTTATCATACATGTATAACATGTTAACTGAAGAAAAAAGAAACACATGTAATTCATTTTAAATTTTTGCGAATGTATATTAAGATGGCAACTGTCTAATGTCGAATTTGTGTTCAGTAATCATTTTCTGTCAAGCGCAACAGCTTTCACGGCTTTATTTCGAACTGAATGGGTAAAATTGCAGTTTATCATCCAGGGAAGGCCTTGGTGGTTTATAAATGCATTACAAATATGAAAATATTTCAAAAGAGAGGCGAAAGATACCAAAGGGACATTCAAACTCATAAGTCGAAAATAAACTGACAACGCCATGGAAAAAAAAGAAAAAAGATCAAAAGACAAACAATAGTGTACAAAACACAACACAGAAAACTAAAGACTGAGCAACACGAACCCCACTAAAAACCGAGGCTTGAATGTTGCTACATAGAAATAGAAAGTTCACAATTGGGAAGCTGAAATAATTTAATTGCTGTGGAAAAAAGTTGTTATCTTAATCTTAAAATCTAAATTTAAAAAATGCAGCCATAAATGACTTAATAAGCTGTCTTTGTTTCAGAAAAATGCGAACAGAATTGTGATTTTTCTAGACATGCTGGAAAATTGAACTTTTTATATATGAAAATGAATATCTTCTCTTTTCGTGTTTGCTAAGTATAATTGCTATAACAGGAGGCTGTTAGTGGACAGACAGGCACACACCAAAACGAAATTTAAGGTATTATATCGTTCCCTGTTGTTACAGTGAGGCAGGAGAGGAGTATTTAAACCTCATTTTCTTAATCCAAATCATCATCACTTTCTGTGGGAAGGAAAATTCCTCTCTTCGGTGTTCCAAATTTTCTCATGGTGACTTCCTTGAAATGTTGTCTGTCAATATCAAATGGGAATTTCTTAGATTGGCCAAAATTTTTCAGCTGTCGTCTTTGTGTAGTGTCCAATGTTTAAAGGGGTCAGTACTTCTAATTAACATTTAACATTCTTCTCTGATGAGCGCTTTTTGTGATGTGTAATTTTATTAGAAATGTGTGTCATTCTATCAAAGTTAGTAACAAAGTTCTATGAAACTGGAACAGCTTTAGTGATCGTGATTATAGCGTTTTCAGTTTTGTTCGAACCCAGTCCCAGTATAAGCTCTTTTAGCACCAGTATTTCATTTTCTTTTTAACAATTTGCAGCTTTGTTCTCTCCTTCTGGCCAGTTATGTTCATAAAAGATCCATACCTTAATTTCAAAGCTAGTTTTTTTTTGCGAGTATAATTTCAGTTTTCAGAATAGAGTTAATACATTCTTCTAGATACTTTGATAAACCGAGTGACTAAAAAATACAGGAATGCAAAGTTTCAATGTAGTGATCTATTTGACTATCCCTCCTTAATTGAATCTTTGAGGGTTAACATTATGATATACCACTGACGAAACTGAAGTGCATATTGGCATAAATCGTCCGAGTTTTCTTCTTTGAACAAAATTCTGACAGAGATGGTTTTATTAGACACACAAATCGTAATGGTAGCTCCATTTCGAGCTTCGTCAGGAGTAACATTAAAGAGGATTTTTTTATTGTTGATTGACAGCTCAAACTTCAGCACTCTCCCATCCACTGTTCTGTTCACCTCATATCTAATATACAGGATATCTACATTCAATAATACTCCATGCTCCTAAAAATGTATGAAATAGATTTAAATTGAGGACAAAAATAATTTGAGTGTTATTCTATCAAATGTCTTCTAAATACCGCCTTGCTTGCCTTGACGACACAGGGAACATGTCAACTGAGAAACCTGTAAAAGGAACATGATTTTTAATATATTCAACAAACATTAATAACAAATGCTTTCTTATCACCCTCTGAATGGCCTTGACATACAAGGAACATGTCCTCTGAGAAAACTGTAAAAAGTATAGGATGTTTTAATATCTTGATCTGAAAATTAATTAATAAAACCGTCCTAATCGTGGTTTTCCGGCGACCATGAATTCCATTGCATACATATAAACTATTTAATATTAAATTCTCTACAGTGGATGCTTCTATAACCAATAAAGACAATCACTGGCTATCATTATTACTTTTTTAACAATGATAGGACTGCTGAAATCATGTTCGGGCTTTGTAGGCAAAAGTTTGTTCTAGCCAATATTAAGTGTAAACCAACAATGCATTAGACATGATACTAAATAAAGGCAACAGTAGTATACCGCTGTTCAAAAGTCATAAATCGATTAAGAGAAAACAAATCCGAGTTACAAACTAAAACCGATGGAAACACATCAACTATAAGAGGATAGCAACGGAACAAAAGAAACACTGAACTGCAACAAAAACAAACGCCAACATATACATAGAAACGGACTATTTGATAAAAACTGCCATATTCTTGACTTTGTACAGGACATTTTAAGAAAAAATGGTGGGTTGAACCTGGTTTTATGGCTAGCCAAACCTCTAACAATGGAAATGCATTATATATTTTAGAATAAAGATAATTGAACATTCACAAAGAACATTCTCTGCATTAGAAGCATCCACAATCAGTATCTCTTCACTAAAAACCATGTTGGTGTATTGCTTCTGTGTACAGCTTTAGTTTATCTTCTTTTGGTTAAAATGTTCTTGCTACTTGTACACGGTACATTATATCATGAAGTTAATGAGTAATACCTCAAAAAAAGTATTAAAAAAAAATACAGAACTCCAAGGTAAATTCAAAGAGGGGAACTCCATAAAAACTGATAAAATCAACGAACAGCACGAATGGAAAACAACTGAAGGACTATAGATTTTCCCACCATACCGTCAGTATGAAGGTCCTAGTAATATAACAATATCAAAAGTTTTATCACTTATCGCTTTATAATATAACACCAAATAGGGATACCATACCTTCAACTAACACTTTGGAAACAGAAAGAGTAAATTAAGGCGACAGTTGTTCACCGATGTTCAAATCTCGTAAATCGATTACGAGACAAATCAAGGTAACAAACACAAACTGAGCCATCGGAATTAAGGATACAATTGGCAGTCTTAGATGTCTATCATTCTCATTGTATACATATTCAAGTAAATGTATAAATCCAATCCACAAAACAATCTTTGCCCCCAGACAAAGCGTCCAAGGTTTTAGCAATACGCGGTGTCCTGTTACTAATCGTGAACCGACTCTTTGTTAGATAATTAAAATCACTGGATAAATTCAAGGGCCTAAATTGTGTTCTTTGATACCAAGATTCGACAGTTCCAAAATGTCTGTCTGCCATTTTAAGCTTAAAGAAAATGATGCGTTTATGTGAGACATCACCTGTGTCGATAGTATGCTCAACAAAATTGGTTGTATCGATATCTTTATGATCTTTTGAAAAAGTATATAGATATTTGATGAAAAATTACTTCGATAGACATTTTGCGTGCAGCTCAGCTCCATGAACTGCTAACTCATCTGAATTGCATATATTATTTATTTATCAATTATGGATTTTAAAGGGGCATTAGCTACCAGATATAAAAAAAAATAATTATGATTTTTTTTTTTTTCAATCATTAATGAAAGTGAAATAGTGGAATAATAATTCGCTTTTATAACAACCACCTTGGTTCAGTTTTGTCAAATTAAGCAAAGAAACATCGCTAATGAATTATTCACTTGCAAGTGAAAATGACTGGTTCGATCTGGAAAACTCATTCTTATATAAAAACGATCATTAACAAATTTTTTAGCCTATAATATGAATTCAAACAGACCTAGAAAAATCCAACTGCACGAGTTCGCAATCTATTTATATCTATGTTTATATTTATATCGGGTTATATGACCGTCGGCAGTCTTCGGAGGTCACCTCGATGGTTGATTATATGTCGTCTAGACTAAAATACCCACGAAATGCTGATATATACTATCGAGTCTATGCATCGTAAATTGTTTTTTTTTTTAGACTTTTTATAATTTGGATATGCGTTTTAGTATGTTATAAGTCGAATATAAGACTTTGAGTCAAATCGGTGAACATGAATTTGACAGCTAATGCCCCTTTGACGAAGTCAATACACTATATAAGGACCTCTTAAGATTATACTGACCGAGGACGAAGTTACGTATTAACTGAGTGAAAGTCCTTAATTTATATAAACCATTATGTAAAAAGTAATGGAATTCAATGTTCTTTCTGTGTATTTTACATTGTATTTTGCAAGATTTTTAATATCGACCGTCAATATATATATATATATATATATAAATAGAAACAGAGCGGCCAGACAACACACAACCTTAGCCTGTCTACACTGAG